TATTGTGAACAACCTAAGGAGAGAATAAAATGAGTTTCTATGCTCTGCTTCATATGTGCATAAACCAAAGAGGCATAGAATAACTTGCCACCAAGATCTTCTGAAGTTGGCCTGATGAACAAAAAGAGGCATAGAACAACCCAGGTCCATATGCTTTAAAATTCGGACCAATACAATCGTGCAATGAGAATGATGTGATTCAACCACATCACCTGTATGAACTCCATGTCCTCGTAAAGCAAAAAGGAGATGTGAAATTGCACACTCGAGCTTACACGTGACTTGAGTGTGCCATTTGACTGGACATTTGGACTTCCTAGACGAATATGCCCTCCACTATAAGACACGTGAACAACTAAAATCTGTGAGAAATCATGACGCTGTTAGGCATGGGGACCATTTAAATTCAAATCGCAAACATTAGAGACTAATATGATACAATTGATACACGGGAACCAAAATAACACATAATGCATAAAATGAGGACTACAAATATAATTAACCTCCCCCCTCTCCCCCCCCCCCTCCCTTTTTTTTATGAACACAATTTCTATGGTCACAAAAGTTTAAAAAAATCAATAAGCAAAATCAAAGTACCACTTTCAAAAAGGGCCTAAATTTGGATGAGTGGATGAGAGTTCAGTAGACATGCTTTTGCAATATCATCTTATTGCACTACCTACTTGTTGCATCCAGGATATCATGTTATATTTTGTTGGTATGTTTTGACGCTTTCAAGGTGCCCCAGCTCTCATAGATTTTTAAATATTGGTATTTTTGAGGACCCACCTCCACCCCCGCTCTGTGTGATCTAGTTCTAGAGTATGATTCTATTTTGTCGATTGATAATAAAGTGAGAGATCAACTGCAATTAGTTATATCTTGACAACTCTATGCCCTTCCAAAATAATGTCCTAACAACCGTATGTCTTTGCAAAATAAACTGCCTCTCGTGCCCCCAGAATTTCTGTGACTTGTGCTTCGCAAAAAGATGTCAAAACTCCCATTTTTATCCCTGATTACAACCCCAATTCCAATAGTCCCCTCCGAATAAAAAACAGCCCATCGAAATTGATCTTCAAAGTTACGGCACTAGTCGAATGCCAATGGGAAGCTGGTGACACATTTCCCCCTTGGGAACTTTTGTCCTAGGCCAGCTCATACTGGATGACATACTCCTTGGCAGGTCGGAATAAGAAGGTGGGGTCCTTCTTCTGATTCACCCCTTCCCCAAAGAGGATCTGATTTCCATGAGAATGAGACCAAATAAGCCAACAGTGCACCAGAAAAATCAGGAAAAGTTGGTGGCGTAGGCACTGGAACATCTCCCATTGCCAAAGGTCCGCCCATGCCTGTTTAGCCAGCATGGCCATATTAAAAGTCCTCAGGTCTCGAAACCCCATACCACCCTTATCCTTCCTCCTACACATGTCAATCTATTTGGCCCAGTGAATCTTCCTTTCCCCTCCTTTTTGACCCCACCAGAAATTGGAAGCTGGAGACTCCAAATCATGACACAAGTATTCAGACAGTTTGAAGCAACCCATCGCATATGTTGGAGTTTACTAGGCCACCGCTTTGATAAGAACCTCTTTCCCTGCTTTGGATAAAAATTATTCCTTCCAACCTTGGAGCTTTTTCCAAACCTTCTCTTGGATGCCAGCCAACACCTCATTCCGTTAAAAACTGATACACATACTACCCACGTTTGTTGTTATAAAATATATATATATATATA